CTGTTCTGGGGGAGGCCCGCTGGGCGTGGGGCTTTGGTGAGGCCCGGTCCTTCCTGCTCCAGCCCTGCTGCTGGGCTGTGGGCCTGCGCCCGGGGCCGGGCCCGTCTGTGAGGGAGGGGCTGGCCCCACTCCGGGCCTGCACATGGCGGGTGGCTGTGCCAGTCTGCCACATGGTGGCTGGCTCGCCTCTGCCCCGCCCCCGCCCCAGCTGGCTCGGCCGAGCGGTCACCCAGGCAGAACCATGCCCCGAGGACCTGACGGGTGAGGCTGTCGGCTCAGCCGCACACCCCGCCGTCTGCTCCTGGCTCAGTGCAGTGTCCCTGCGACTCCAGCTTTGTGTTAGCGTGGGTTCTCACCCCAACGGTGCCACCTTTTCTGAACGGCACAAGAAACTGTTACTGGGCACGACCACCAGTGCATCCGGCAGCCCCTGGTCCGAGGCTCCTCCACACACGTGGCTCTTCCCTCGGAGCATGACACACAAGAACAGTGAGATGGCGTGTTTCTGATCCGAATGACTACACATGTCCCCATGTCCGATGTAACTTGGCCTTGTCAGAGGAAAGGCAGCGGGAGGCGGGCAGCGAGGTGGGGGAGGGTTCTGACGTCCCCGTGTCCCGCATGGTCCTGGCGCGCATGGCCAGCGTGGGGGTGCGGCTCCCAGCTCCGGCCACGCTGGCATTGGAGACCTGATTTAAGTTCATGGGTGCTTTTTTAAAAGGCATGTGTTTACCAGAATCCTATCTAATAAAAGAGTAATATGCAAATTAACCATCACTCCACTACACCCACAACCCATGCCCACCAGCCAAGGGTCCCAGATTGGAGAGGATGCAGGCTCAGCTGAGGGACACCACCCTCCATGCACGAATTTCATGGTCCGAGCCTCTAGTATGTATATATACAGAAAAAAAGGTCTGACAAAATTCAGAACCTAAAACTGCGAGAGCATGCAGGGGAGAGAAGGATCTTTTGGGGCAGCTCTGAGGCCTCAGCACTGAAAATGATCAGAAAATGTATCACAGAATATGGATGTTTATTCAGTTGCCTTTTAATTAAAAACACACATCAGATGTCCCTGAAATGTGCATTGGGAACGCCAGTTACACAGTAAAACCAGGCAGCGCGTTGTGAGCTCCCGGCGTGGCCTTGCTGTCCAGAGGTGAACGACAGGAGACGGGCCATTTCTCCGCCGCGGTGGCTCCCTGTGCATGGGCAGCTGGCTAACCACCGCAGTCACTCACAGGAAGGGAAAGCGGAGACGTGACACCAGCTGTGGATGCAATGGCAGTGGCCTGGAGCAGGCCTGAGTGAGACCTTCTGGAGAATGATTTGGAGGTTGAAGCTGACATGCCTCTCCGGCCGCCCACTGCTCTCAGCACCTCGTTTGTTTCCTCGTTGTGGCTAGAAAACTGGACACAGGGCTTTTCGGGGGCCCAGGCCTGGGTGCCACAGGCTGACCGCCCAGCTCCTGGGGCTCTGTCTGCGTTTGTCTGTGAGGCTGAGGCTGTGGCACCTGCCCTCCCCAGCACAACGGAGAGAAGTCCCAGGGGCCAGGTGTGGGCGGGGTGTGCAGCCTGGCCCTGAGCACCCGTGGGGTTTGGCAGGGGTGCTCTGTGCGGTGGGCAGGGTGCTCTGTGCGGTGGGCCGGGATGTACGTGGAAGGACCCAGAAGCTGTCCGGCTGGCGGACACCAGCGGAGAGTGCGGAAGAGGTAGAAAGCCCCGGCTCCCTCAGCATGCAAATGTTCAGCCTGAGGGGTCCCTCTCAGCCCTTCTGTCGGCACAGGCCTCGCTCGCAGCTCTCTTAGAGTGAACGTAATTAAAGCGAGCTGTTGTCATGTTGATACACGCTGCTTCAGTCCAAGGTTTTGTGAAGTAGAACATGGCTCCCGTTCAGAAGGGCCTGGCGGACCTTGGGCTTGGAGCAAGTATGTAGGTGCGGCCTCCGAGGGCTCACTGCTGCCTGTGCTGCCTGCGGGCCCCGCCTCGCTCACTCGGAGCTGCTGCAGGCAAGACAAGTGGGCGGGAAAGGCCGGCAAGCAGTGGGGCCTGGGTGCATGGGCCGCAGTGAGCGCGAGCTCCCCTACCAAGTCCATACCGACCTATGAGGCGCTCCGCCTCACATGCAATGCTCAACTCCCTCATGCTTTACACACTTCACACGCAGCTGCCAGAGGTTTTGCTCAAACCCACCAATTAAATATGTGGCACCTACAGAAGCGCAGAGTGGTGAGGGAGGCCTCTGTGGGGGGAGGGGCCTCCGGTTATCTCCATGTGCTGAGAGAAGTAGATGCTGGGATTGACTGCCATTTCGAAAATAACCAAAAATGCTAGAATGTGAAGGTGTAGAGATATACTCTGCAACATGTCAGTTTCTGGAGACACTGGAATTCTAGGAGGTGCCGAACCAAGTGAAAGCAGGACCCTAAGTGGACACTGATGACCTTCTCTTGAGGGCATTTCCAAACATTGGCTTTCACAACTCACAACCGCTTCAAACCTCACATGCTGCTTCACACCTCACTGGCTGCTTCACACCTCACTGGCTGCTTCACCTCACCAGCTGCTTCACACCTCACCTGCTGCTTCACCCTCACAGTTGCTTCACACTTCACCAGCCACTTTATACCTCACAGCCACTTCACACCTCACCTGTTGGTTCACAACTCACAGCTGCTTCACACCTCATGGGCCGATTCACACCTCACATGCTGCTTCACACCTCACAGCCACTTCACACCACCTGCTGGTTCACAACTCAGCCACTTCACACCTCATCTGCTGGTTCACAACTCAGCCACTTCACACATCATGATGCTTCACATCTTACTGGCTGCTTCACACCTCACCAGCTGCTTCACACCTCACAGTTGCTTCACATCTCACCAACTGCTTCATATCTCACCTGTTGGTTCACACCTCACAGCCACTTCACACCTCACCTGCTGGTTCACACCTCACAGCCACTTCACACCTCATCTGCTGGTTCACAACTCAGCCATGTCACACCTCACATGCTGGTTCACAACTCAGCCACTTCACACATCATGCTGCTTCACACCTTACTGGCTGCTTCACACCTCACTGGCTGCTTCACACCTCACCAGCTGCTTCACACTTCACCTGTTGGTTCACACCTCACAGCCACTTCACACCTCACCTGCTGGTTCAGCCTCACAGCTGCTTCACACCTCACCAGCCTCTTCACACCTCACCAGCCACTTTACACCTCACAGCCATTTCACACCTCACCTGTTGGTTCACAACTCACAGCTGCTTCACACTTCATGGGTCGCATTTACACCTCATGGGCCAATTCACACCTCATGGGCTGCTTCACACCTCACCTGCAGGTTCACAGCCCATGATCACCAGCTGTGGGGAGGAGGCGGGTTGGAGGAGTCACCTTAGAACACATGTGTCAAACACAAGGCCCCCGGGCCAAATCCATCCTGCCAGGCCTCGCAATGTGGCCCACACCACGCTGTCATCACTGCACTCCGCTGCGTTTCCATCACAATGACAGTTTATGACTGTTCGGTAAACCATTCGGCCCGCGATTTAGGCTGGATTTTAGATTTTGGCCCCTTCTCTGATTGAGTTCGACACCCCTACCTTAGAATGACGGCGAGAGCCTCCACTGGGCCCAAGGACTTCATGCTCAGCACTGGGGTGAGGTGGTGGGGAGTGAGATCACACCAGGACTTTGAACACAGTCAGCTTCACAGGAAAACACTGTCCACATGCACCACCACGTGGCCCCTAAAACCCAAATGAGGAAGTTAGCTTAGAGAAGGAAGCACACGTCCTCACTGGAGGAATCCCCGTGTTCTCTGTCTTCAAAGCACTCCCACAGTTAAAATCCCAGGAGCTTACAGCACCATGCTGGAGAGCAAGGAGCCGTGAGCAAAGGGCGGCCCGAGGGCACAATGAAGAGACCTCAAACATAAACTTACATGTTTTCACGTGTAAAGGAACCCACAAGAGGGAGGTTACATATGAACCAGAGATCAATAGCCTCAAAAATGACCAAAAATATTAAAACAATAGAATTTTTAAATGCAAGATAAAATAGAAAGTTTAAACTCAAGACATGTGTGTAAAAGCAAATTAGATATAGTTGAAGAGGGCATGAGTGAACTAAAAGAGAGAACTGGAGAAATTATCCAGAATGAAGCCAGAGAGATAAAGAAAAGAAATACATGGTTTCTAAAAGTAAGGAGTCTTAGAAGACAAGCTACAACCGTCCCACATACATTGAGCAGGAGTTCCACGACAGGAAGGTGTGGAGAGGTGCTACGTGAAGACACAGTGGCTGAAAAATGTATGGCACCGATGGAAAGGCCAATTCTCAGACTCAGTAAGTCTACTGGAGTGAAACAAGTCTACTGGATTCACAACAGAGAGGCCTCGGACCCCGGACAGGGATCTGAGGTGTCAACTGGGCACTGGGTCATGGTGCAAGCTGGGTGCTGGGTCATGGTATGAACTGGGTGCTGGGTCATGGTGTGAGTTGAGTGCTGGGTCACGGTGTGAGCTGGGTGCTGGGCTGCGGTGTGAGCCGGGGCGCCTGGTTTCTGGGCCCAGACTCACTGCTGCAGCACTTACCCTCCTCTTGCTGATGTGGGGCCTTATTCTCGGAAAGCCCTCCTAGTCCTGCCGAAGCTGAGTGATGAGAGAGGAGTGAAGTGGCTGCCCACCCAACGAGGGCCAGTCATTGGCCTTATTCCTGTGAGCACGTCATAAACTTGTCATTCTGTTCTAAAACAAGACCTCGCTCTTGGCAGCCATGTCCACGTTGTTTGTCCCAGCAGGTCTGGGGTCTCCTGGGACGGCACCTCTGCTTGGAGTGGGGTGCGGGGGACGCTGGCCCTTAGGTCTCCCTCTTGCAGCTCGTGCCCAGCGTGGCGCTGGGACTGGGTGTAGCACAGGGAGAGCACCTCGTGTCCAGCGGAGGACAGGCCCGAGCTAACCTGTGCTTCTTCTTCTTCCCAACAGTCAGCAACAAGGACAAACTGGAACGATCATCGGGACTGAGGGTTCTTCAAGCCGGAGTGGGGTCGGTGAGTGGCTGAGGCTGCCCTGAGACGCGTCGGTGCACAGCGTGCTATTTGTGTGAAGCCTGCGTCGTGGCCCACGTGGGGTCCAGCGATGTTGTGTGGCTGGGGCGGCTGGCTGGTGAGCTGGCTGCCGGGTCACGGTGTGAGCCGGGCGCTGGGTCACGGTGCGAGCCGGGCGCTGGGTCACGGTGTGAGCCGGGCACGGTGTGAGCCAGGCACTGGGCCACGGTGTGAGCCGGGCACTGGGCCACGGTGTGAGCCGGGCATGGTGTGAGCCGGGCGCTGGGTCACGGTGTGAGCCGGGCGCTGGGGCACGGTGTGAGCCGGGCGCTGGGTCACGGTGTGAGCCGGGCACGGTGTGAGCCGGGCGCTGGGCCATGGTGTGAGCCGGGCACTGGGCCACGGTGTGAGCCGGGCATGGTGTGAGCCGGGCGCTGGGTCACGGTGTGAGCCGGGCGCTGGGTCACGGTGCGAGCCGGGCGCTGGGTCACGGTGCGAGCCGGGCGCTGGGTCACGGTGTGAGCCGGGCACGGTGTGAGCCAGGCACTGGGCCACGGTGTGAGCCGGGCACTGGGCCACGGTGTGAGCCGGGCATGGTGTGAGCCGGGCGCTGGGTCACGGTGTGAGCCGGGCGCTGGGGCACGGTGTGAGCCGGGCGCTGGGGCACGGTGTGAACCAGGCATGGTGTGAGCCGGGTAGCCGTCTGATGGTTGAGATGCCAATGCTGGTGCCCATGCCGGTGCCAGATAATGTGACTGTTTTGGGGGCCTTTGAGGAAAAGCAGTCCTGAATAAGAAAAGCAGGGAAACCATCAGAACACACCTCGTCTCGCAATGTCACATGTGTGGCAGGGAGTTCCACTGGTGCTGGGGTCGGTATTTCGGGCGTTTGGGAGGCGCTGCAGGGAGGGATGCTTCCGCAGCAGGAGCGGCCACGCCTCAGGGCCGGGCGGGGCTCCTTGGTTCTGGGAGGAGGCACTGGGCCTGACGCTCGGTCAGCAGAGCAGCTGCCGGCTCTCGCCTCCCGGCCCGCGGGCGTCCCGGTCCCAGCAGCTGAAGGAGTGCAGGTGGACAGCGCTGCTCCCTCTAGGTCCTAGAGTCTAGGAGGTGCTGCCGCTGAGTCCGCGTGGCCAACAGCCTTTGCCATCGCCGTAGAAACTAGATTTCACGGCCTGGTCTTCTCGGACACCTGACTGTCAGGCGGCGGCCGCCAGGGCTCCTTGCTGATGGCTGGGACCCGCACTCTCTTGGGGGAAATGTCCCCCCAGCTCCCCACTGACGGGAGCAGGCGTGCCTGGCTGCAGCCACGCTCCTGTGGCAGCACAGGTGCTCTCGGGGACAGACCCGTCAGAGGACGTGGGAGAGCAGGACCCAAGGCCGCCTGTGCCTGCCGGAGGGCAGTTTCCACAGCACGTGTGTTCTGGTGTCCAGGGTGGGGTCAGAGCACGTGTGTTCTGGTGTCCAGGGTGGGGTGAGAGCCACAGGAGTAAGGAGAAAGCTGCCTTGAGTGTCCGGCGGGCGGCGGGCGGCGGGCAGGGAGAGTGTCTGTGGGGGGGAGGCTGGCTCTGCCGGAGAGGGCGGCATGGCACCTGAACCTGGGCGGGGGAGGGGAGCTCTTCTGGCTAGAAAGGGCTCTCCTGAGATGGGGTCAGTGCTGACCTCTCACTCTGCCCAGCACAGCTTCCACAGGTACCAGGCTCGCTGTTTCCTGGCACAGGCCCCAGGCTGGTGCAGTGACAGTGGAGCAGTGGGACCCAGGCTGTGCAGTGACAGCCGCGGGGCCCAGGCTGTGCAGTGACAGCGGAGCAGTGGGACCCAGGCGGGTGCAGTGACAGCAGAGCCGCGGGGCCCAGGCTGTGCAGTGACAGCAGAGTCGCGGGGCCCAGGCTGTGCAGTGACAGCAGAGCTGCGGGGCCCAGGCTGTGCAGTGACAGCAGAGCCGCGGGGCCCAGGCTGTGCAGTGACAGCAGAGCTGCGGGGCCCAGGCTGTGCAGTGACAGCAGAGCCGCGGGGCCCAGGCTGTGCAGTGGCAGCGGAGCCGCAGGGCAGGCTGGGAGCTGAGCCGGTGTCGGAGAAGCTGCCGCCCCCACCTTGGTGAGGCACCAGGGTCGGGAAGTGGTAGCGTTGTCTCCTCACCGCCCCCGCCAGCCTCACGGGGCCCTGCTGCTCCCACTTCTGGCCCCGAAGCCCTGCCCCCGCGTCATTGACCTGGGTCACTGGTCCTGCACGGCACCGCCAGCTCCATGGTTAGACCCTCCTTGTCTGCGAGGTTGTCTTCCGTTCTCTCCGAACACCGCACTGCCCAGAAACCGCTCCCCGCGACTCGGCTCCTCTATCATCCAAGGGGCGTCACAGCACCCTGGCTTAGGTGGCCATCCCCGAGTGGCCGATGCCAGATGCCCAACCAGCAGCCTCTCCACACGCTCACTCTTGGCCCCGTCACCGTGGTCAGCCTCCCAGGAGCCCCATGGACCTTCTTAGCCACCCTGCCCTCAGGCTCCCCGCCATCCTCTCACCTCTCACCTCTCACCTCTCACCTCTGGCCAAGCCGTGTGGGTTCTCTCCCCTGCGTCTGGCCCTTGATGAAGTGCGGGTGTTGCCATCCTAGGTGCACAGCTAGCTCCGGAGAGCAGTGTTTCCTCATCTCAAACCTGTCTGCGGGTGTGAGGTGTGTCACCTTCTCTGTGTGTGCGGGCATGATGGTGTGTCACCTGCTCTGTCTGTGCGGGCGTGATGGTGCGTCACCTCCTCTGTGTATGCAGGCGTGACGGTGTGTCACCTCCTCTGTCTGTGTGTGCGGGCGTGACTGTGTGTCACCTCCTCTGTGTGTGCGAACGTGACTGTGCATCACCTCCTCTGTGTGTGCAGGCGTGACGGTGTGTCACCTCCTCTGTCTGTGTGTGCGGGCGTGACGGTGTGTCACCTCCTCTGTGTGTGCGGGCGTGACGGTGTGTCACCTCCTCTGTCTGTGTGTGCGGGTGTGACAGTGTGTCACCTCCTCTGCCGCGGTTCCCGTGAGGCAGACGCAGCCCCAGACCAGGACACACGAGAGGCCTCGGGCGGAGCAGGGTCAGGCCGTGTCCCCAGCCTGCCCTATCTGCTCCCGAGAGAGGAAGGCCGTGAGCCGTGCCTCCCGGAGGCCAGGCAGCTGCAGCGGGTCTGGCTCTGGAGGTGGGTGCCGCCAGGGATGGGGAAGGGACCTGGTGGGGACCAGGCTGGGCCAGCCCATGTGCAGGACCTCCCCTCCCCCGAGACCAGAGGCCTGTCCTCCAGGTCCGGCCACACTTCTGTGTGCAGAGCACACCTTGTAATCGCAGATCGGGGGACCCTCCAAACCGCCTGCACGGGGAGCCCCCTCGGCCAGTGGCAGCAGCACCTGCGGGGGGTGGGGGGGGCACTAGCTGCTGGGTCCCGGGCACTCAGCTGGCAAACAGGAAGCTGTGCCTTCCACCTCGGAGACAGGGAACCCTGTTCCAGGCTGGCGAGAGCAGAAACAAGGGGTGTTTTACAGAAATAATGCTCTTCTCTTCGCAAGCACCAAGTTACTGCTGCGCTGGAGTGTCAGGCTCTCTTCCGGGTCACCCGAGGCACAGCGCTCCCAGGACAGGACAGGCGTGGGGGAGGGCGTGGGGGGCCGAGTGTGGAGGGAGGGCTTGGGGGAGGGGTTGGGGGAGGGCGTGCAGGAGGGCGTGGGGGAGGATGTGGGGGGAGGGCGTGGGGGGCCAAGTGTGGAGGGAGGGCGTGGGGGAGAGGGTGGGGGAGGGCGTGGGGTGACCGCGTGCGAAGTCCCACCTCGGTTCTTGTGTCTCCCTGGAAGCATCTAAGTTGCTTGAGGAGAGGGCCCTGGGTGTGGAAGGACACGCCGTCCTCAGCCAAGGACCCCATGCCGCTAGGCCAGTCACTCTCCTGGCGGGTGACCAGCAAGGAGGGACCGGGGAGCCGGTCCCCGCTGCCCGTGTCGTTAGGTCGCTGGGCTGTGTGCGGGCAGTGCGCGGGGCTGTGGGCGGACAGTGCGCGGGGCAGTGGGCGGGGCAGTGAGCGGGGCTGTGTGCGGGGCTGTGTGCGGGCAGTGTGCGGGGGCAGTGGGCGGGGCAGTGCGCGGGGCTGTGGGCGGGCTGTGTGAGGGGCAGTGCGCGGGGCAGTGTGCGGGCTGTCCACTGAGGAGCGCCGGGCAGGACTTGGCAAACCGTGCGGTCACCTGTGGGCATCAGCGCTTCGCTCTGGCCCCGAACCCCGGGCGGGTTCCCGGAGAGATGCCGGCAGCTGGCCGGGCCGGTGGAGCAGAGACCGCTGAGAGGAACCCAGAAACGCCACCCGGGGCCCTGTGGAAGGGACCCCTCCCAATGACAACATCCCCCGTGCTCCCGTCCCCGTCCCCATCCCCGCCCCACCCCACCCGTCCGCCCACCGCATCCCACCTCCGTTCCTGTCCCTGCCCCGCCTCCTCGCCACGCTCGCATCAGGAGCTCTGGGCATTGAAGGGAGTTCAATGTGAACGTATGTTTTTCTTTCTGTGCATTTCCTTTCTCACTAAATGCTCCTTGGCACGGCATGTCCTTCTTGCCTTTGAGGTGTTGGCTACAGATGAGCGGGCATCGGACATGGCTGGGCGCAGGAGGGTGGAGCGGAGCCGTGCGAGGGTCTGGGACAGAGTCACTCCTTCATTGGATCCATAGGAGCCAAGGCCCCTGCGCTGCCTGCTTCCCCAGCGGGCGGGGCGGGGCGGGCGGGCGGAGGGCGGGGCTCTTTCTCCCCAGGCCCCTCCTCTGGGCCTCAGGCCACCGTCCCTCCTTGTGTCCGGTCGCACTGCATCAGGGCGCACCTGGCAACCTCATCTGAGTAATCTCCTCTGCTCAGCCCTGGCCCCTGCTGCTCAGTGGTTAGGGTGGTAGCTGCGCACCAATGGATTGTGGGTTTGATCCCCAGCCCCAGTTTGTGGTGCATATGGAGGCAACCAATCGCTATGTCTCTCTCACATCGATGTCCCTCCCTCTCTCCCTTCCA